TTGGCGCCCGCACTGTTGTCTGGAGGCCCGAGGCCCGTGTCCCTGCTCGGCAACACAGCGCGGCGGGGACGGCAAAAGAAAGGCGACGCCGTGCCGCTACACAGCGGTAATGCAAGTCACTGCGAGAACAATGACAATTAGCATCAGCAAGCGACGCCGAGCCGCCCTGCCCGCCGTTCCTTCCGGGGCACGTCGGCGAGGTCCCGGGGGCTGCACCATCCTCGTGATTCTGATGGCCGTCTCGGGGACGCGGAAGGGAGGGGGGCACTGTAGGGCGCCAGCACTGCGACGCCCCGCCCCGCCTTTCGAATGTCGTCACCAATTTATGCCAGAGCGAAAGGCGACGCGTCGGGATCGGCAAAGTGGCGGCAGCGCTGCAGCAGCAGGTGCCGCCCGAGGCCGCCGACGTGGAGGCCGACGTGGAGGCCGACGTGGAGACCGTGCTGCCGTGCACCACCCTCGGGATTGCTTCGGGACGTGTTCGGGACGCCTTCGGGGGCTCGGGGAGCGAGGGCTGCCGCGGCGGAGGCTGTAGTGTTCGCAGTGTGCGGGCTGTGCCGGGCTGTGCCGGGCTGTGCGGCCCCTCTGGGGGCGCGGGGCGAGCGCCTGGGGGTGGCGGTGGGGCGCGCGCTGATCGGCGCGAAGATGGCGGCCTCGGTGTCCGTCCTACTGCGGCACGGCCTACTTTTTGTCATTCCGCCGTCACCTTTTTAGGCCGACCGCGCCGCGCGGTTCCCAGCAAGGTTCCCGGCGACCCGCCGCCAGAAAGGACAGGACGGGGCCCTCCGCGAGTCGGCCGCCCGGTTTTTGCTGGTGTCATAGGGGATGGGCTGGAGTGGTGGGGGTAATTAAACAAGCCGCGCGCTGCTGCTGACGCCACAGCAGGCCGAGCAGGCCGAGCGAGCCAAGCAGCCCCCCGCTGGCGCTGGCGCGGTCCTGGCGCGGTCCTGGCGCTCCGCCGCGCGGCGCAGTGCGGCGCCACGGCGAGATGATCGGTGGCGGGAACGAGGTGCAGAGTGGCGCCATTTCCGGAGGGCGAGAAAGAAGACCACGGCCATCGCCATGCCCGCCCCGGCCATGCCGCATGACGACGCTGCCAATGGCCCATGGCCCCCCGCGGCCCCCCGATGGCCCCGCCGATGGCCCCGCCGGGGGTCCTAATGACGCGCTGGGCTGCGCCGCACATCTGCCGGCACCGCGTCTCTCTCGCACTCGCGGGGCGCCCCGCACGGGTGCGAGAGAGACGCTCTGGTGGGAATCACTCTGCAGACAGTTGCCGGCGTTGCCCGCTGCGTCCGCGGAGCCCCATCCATGCCCATCCAGCCGCCCCGTGCTGCGCGCTGTGCCCCGCCGTGCCGTTGGATGCTGGATTCACGCTCCGCTCCGCCAGGCTGCGCCGCTGCGCCCCGCCTCATCCAAGTTGGATCAGCAGGGGGCCGGCCGGACCTGCAAATCCCTGCCAGGCGCCGCCAGGCTAACGCACACACTCAGGCGGACAATCATTCACACATGCACGTGACCGCAGCGCCCCGCCGGCCGGTCTGCCGGACCTGCCTGCACTCTCACGCACACACACACACACACACACACACACACACACACACACACACACACACACACACACACACACACACACACACACACACACACACACACACACACACTGGGGTAGGGGAGGGCGTCCAGGCTGCGGCCCACGTGAACCGGGCGCCTGGGGAAATTAGGCAGTGCAAACGCAGTGGAGGGGCGGGCGGTGGAGTTGTAGGCAAAGAAGGAGTGGGGGGGGGGCATGGAGGTGATGGAACGAAGGGCGCGGCCTTTGCCTGCCCGCTGTCGCCTCGCCTACTTCCTCCCCATAGTGCGGATCGCGGTCAGAGTAACAATGTAACGGGATCAATGGGGGCGGGGCGGCCCGGCGGATACCCCGAGGGAGCGGCCAGCCAGGCAGCCAGCCAGACCCCTTTCTCATTCAGGCTGGCTGGTCATTTGACATGCGCGGAGGGTGACGGATCCGGCACGGCGCGGCCGCCCCCACAACTATGTCAAAACTGGTGGAGCGGGTGGGAACGCGCAGCGTGCTCGTGCTCGCGTCCGGCCAGGGTTGCCCCAGCCAGGTGGCCCGGCCGGTTGGCCCGGCCAGGGTGGCCCGCCAGGGTTGGCCGGCCAGGGTCCCCGCCAGGTGCTCGGCCGGCCAGGGTTGGCCCGGCCAGGGTTGGCCCGGCCAGGGTTGGCCCGGCCAGGGTTGGCCCGGCCAGGGTTGGCCCGGCCAGGGTTGGCCCGGCCGATGCTGCCACGCGAAAGCGGGACAAATCACCCCCTGGAGCGGTGCTGCAAGCTCCAAGCCAACCGCCAAGCTCCGAGCACCAAGCGCCAAGCTCGAACCTGCGGCGGGAGGGCCCGTGGGGTGGGGGGGGCTGAAAAAAGAATGACCTGGCCAACTTCGCGGCCGCGGCTGCGCGCACAGGGACCTGTAAACAGGAAAGTTGTCCCGTTGTTTGCATGTTCCATTCTGACGTGCGTAGTGCGCAGGTCGTGTGTAGTTATGGCGTTGCGCTGGCAGTGTATTGAAATTTCCCGCGGCGTTCGCGCTCGGCGAGGCTGTTAAGTTTTCTGGTCGAACGGCGCCAAACACCTCCCTCCCCCTAGTGGGGTGGCTGGGGCGCTGGGGCCAGCTTGGAACAGCGGGAAAAGCCGGAAAATCTGCCATAGCGTATACGTTGGTGGCTTCAGGCTCGGCCGTGTGTGAGTGCGTCGCGTGTGTACGCAGGGATCCCCCGGGATTCGCGCCGCGGGCGGGGGGCCGGAACTCGGGGAAAGGCAGCCGGGGGAAAGGGAAAGTGAAGACAAGGAACAAGTTTTGCGGTAAACAAATCGCCCCGCGGCGGCGGCGCCTCGGCCGTCGTGCCGCTCCCCTCCCCTTTTTGTGACGAGGCCAACGAGCTTATTCTTCACGCGGTCCTTGTTGTGCTTGCTGATGGCGCCCGGCTGCTGCCCGGCTGCTGCCCTGCCCCGGGCCGTGCGGCCGTGCTCCGAGTAACTCCCACTGTTGGGGCACTTTATTGGCCACGGCCGCGTCGCGTCGCGTCCGGACCGTCCGGGTCGGCGTCACAGCAGCCGGCGCTGTCCTAAACTCGCTCCATATATACTTACCCCTGCCGCCCCCACCCCCGGCGGCCCCCGGCGACACCGCCCTGCCCCATGTCCCTGCCCAATGATTCGGCTCCCTGGCCGTGCCATGCCCATCATACTTCCAGCTTTCAGGGGTGGAGGGGGGAATCGGGCGAACCTTGTTAGTGCTAACTACGCCCTGCTGCTGCCTCCGCGACTTACATCTGCTCATTATTCTCCACTCCCCTTCCACACTGAGAGCAAACACACACACACACACACACACACCACACACACACACACACACACACACACACACAGCATAACGCCCTCGCTTGTAGCGATCCATCGAGTTTCTGCCCATCGACTGCTAATGCGCTTAGTACCTCCCGAGGCACTCCCCTGTAAGGCTGGCAACAACCCCGAGTGCCTGCGATGGCCCCGTGGGCACGCTGGGCCACGCCGGGCCACCCTAGGCCACGCTAGGCTGCCCTTAGGCGTGCGGCGGCTCGGGGGCCGTCCAGGAATCAGGCGGAAGATTGATGTGCCAGCCAGGACCGCCGCCAGGCTCATTCCGAACCGCGCTTTCGTCGCTCTGTCCTCTCGCGCTCACGGCCCGTGCACGGGGCGAGCGGCAAGGTTGCGAGAGAGACAGAGCGAGGATGCAGTGCTCGGGCCCGCTAATGGTGTGGACACATTCCGAAGCGCCGCCTCGGCACAATTTCCAACAACTGGGTCATTCTTTATTTTTTCCCCTCCCCCGCGATGAGCCCCCCGGCGTGCGCGGGCTGAAAAGCAGGGAGCCAAGAGGGGTCTTGGTCGCCACGGGCTTATCTTCTTATGTTTGATCGGCATTAACCTCTTTACTCGGCTCCCCTCGATCACTTCATCACACCCCCGGCCGCCCCCGGCCCCCTGCATGGCGAGTGGGGCTGCGGCCCGGCCCTGCCTCCAGCCCGCCTCCAGCCCGCCTCCAGCCCGCCTCCAGCCCGCCTCCAGCCCGCCTCCAGCCCGCCTCCAGCCCGCCTCCAGCCCCGGCTCCAGGCTCTGCAGAGACGCCACCACCGCCACCACGACTCGTCTTCATTTCGACTTTTATCCCGCCACTGTATACCTAAGGCCGGAAAGGGAGGGAAAATACAATGACCTCAATCATTTTCCCACCCCACTTCTCCCTCTTTCAATCTTTGGGGCTTCTCGCTGCGCTGCGCGGCTCCGCGCCGGAGAGGCGCTAGACTACGCGGTGCTGCCCGAGTGCTGCCTCCAGAGCCGCCCGCCGGGACCGCGTGACCCAGGGCGTCCCACTGCGTTCCGCTGCAGAGCGATAAAGCGGGAAACAATTAACGACGATACTGTCTGGAAAAGGAAGGCGGTGGAAGGGGAAAGGGGGCGGGGACAGTAGTTGGCAAAGGCCAGGGGGACGGCGATTGATAACGGTGCTGAAAAAGAGGAATTGGAGGGCGTCCATCTTGCACTTTCTATCTCCTTGGGCTTCGTCCCTGTCCCTGAGCCGGCACACGGGCCATCCCTCTGCCTCTCTCTCTTTCTCCCACGCCTCCCCGCTGCCTCTGGTTTGTCTCTATTTTTTGCCGTCGCCTCTTTCGCCCGGGGACATTTGAATACGTGTCAGCAGGCGGTGCCCCGCCCCGCCCCGCCCGAGACTTGTTGGCTTTAGTCTTAAAGGGCACGCAACGCAGGTTCGCTCGGCAGCCCGATCACGCGCGCCTAACGTGGAAACGTGGCAACCTCGTTCGACCGCTACACTGCAACGCCACGCTGACGACGCTGACGCACTCCACGGAACGAGTTCACCGCGCCGCCCATGACCGCCGACAGATTTGGGGCGACCGCCTGCCTCTCTGCCTACGTGACCTGCCTCGGCCAACTCGATCATGTCTCCGTGCCGCCTTGCCGCACTGCTCACTGTCAAACCAATTGTGGGCGGAGAACTCCCCTCGAAGTGTGGAGACTGCAAACTCTGCTCTTTCAAGTGCGGAGACTGAATTGCCTTCCTACGCGTTTCCAGTGTGGCGTTGAACTGGGTTTCACAGTGCAGGGCCGCGTGGGCGGCGCGCCTCCAAGACACGTGCGATTGACGGAGGGCGTTCTTTCTGTTCCAGGACCGGGCCCGCGCGACCCGCCCCACCCGCCGCACAGCACGCCCCAGCGGACACCATCACACCAGGTCGACGTCTGCGTACAGGTGAGTCCACACACATTGTTTTGTCGCCCTCATTTATTTATTTTTTTTTTACCCCGGGGGGGTCGAGAGTATCCATTTCAAAGACGCCGTGCCGGGGAGAGCGAGGAGAGGGGGTAGCGCCCTTATTGCGAAACAGTATTATGATCCCGGGAAATTTCTGTGGAGGGAAGTTTGGTGCTATTCATGCGGGTGGCCCGGGTGGCCGGCTAGCCAGCTGCTTTACAGTGGCGGGGCGGGCGGCGCCGCAAAGCCGCTGCACAGCGAAACAAGGAGGGACGTCCACCAAGTCCGCGACGGTCTCGGAGACCGCGAGGGCCAGGTACAAGGCAACTCACAACGCCGAGCAATTCCGAACGGCGGCCACGGCGGCCACGGCCCCACCGCACTGCCGCGGTCCCAAAGTGCGTTTAAAAAGTTTCAGTCCGGTCGTCAAGTTGGCTGCCGTGGTGGCTGAAGAGGGGGGGGGACGCTGCAGGCAAGCCAAGGCGAGCCGAGGCAAGCTCGCTGCTTCAGCTCAAAGGAGCGGATCAGGGATGAGAGGCGAAGGCGATGCAGCCGAGGACGGCGTCGAGTCGCTGTCGAGAGCCTCGTTTCAAGGCACGCCAGCGACTACCTTTGATGACGTCAGATGACGTCAGAGGCGTGCAGGGCGCGCTCGGTGTGCAGCGGCACGCACGCCGGGGCGTCGTGTGGCGCGATCGCAATTTGAATCCCGCATTCCTTAATCCGCATTACCCGAGTCGCTGCAGCCCCCCACCCCGTCCCCCGCGGCCGGGGCGGCCCCTGTTGGTCCCCCGGCGCTGCGACGACGCCACACTGCGAGACTCCCGAAGTCCCGACGCCTCAATTTTCAGCCAACTTGGGCCAAAGTTGTTTCTCTTGTGATCGTCACCGCGTTGGGCTGCGCGGGGCTTCGCGAGGCTGCGCGAGGCCGCGCCGTAACGAGGGCCGGGGACCTCGAAGGCCGGACGGCCGGACGGCAGGCGAAGGCGGACAAAGAAAACGGCAAGCGCGACGCGCGAGGAACTTCGCAGAGAAGCGGGAAGTGGGGCCGGCGGAAAAATTAATCACGGGACAAGCAAGAAAAACAAGGATTACTTTGAAGGAGGGAGGGAGTGTGTTATAATCCGGGGGGCGCGAGGCGGGCGGCGGGGCCGTGGCTTCCAGCCTGCTGGGCCTGTTTAGCGAGGGCGGGGGGCAGCGGGGGCAGCGGGGGCAGCCCTTGACCCCCACCTGGAGGCGGCGGGCCGGACGTGCCGGGAGACGGGAAGGGCGACGTCGCTAAATTTGGACAGGATCATCGTTCCATCCCCCCGGCCTGGGCCTCGGCTCGGCCACGGCCTCGGCCACGGGCGCGTGAAGGCCGCCAGGGCCGCCAGGGCCGCGCCACGCGCAGGGATCGCGGTCGCTGGGATTTGGGCGCCGCGTCGAAAGCAATTCGTCAGACGGCGGGCTGCCGGGCTCGCGGCTGGCGGTTTGGCGCGCTCGGAAGCCGGGATAGGATGAACAGGGAAGGAGGGGATTGTGGTATCTTGTTGCTTTTTCTCTCGTTTTTTCATTCGCCTCGGCAAAGCCACCAATGAGATTCCCCCGTGCGTGTGTGTGAGTGGCGTGCTTTTTGTTCCAGGCCGACCTCCGCGGCGCAGAGCCGCTCTCGTACGAGTCGGAGGATGAGAGCTGCGCGATGGGCCGGCGCACGGGGTCGGGCATGGGCACGGGGACGGGGACGGGCTGCTCGGGCGGCAGCTCACGGCGCTCGCGGCGCCCCCTGCACGGCGGCGGCGCGCACTACTCCAAGCAGGACATCCGCGAGCAGTACTGCATCACGGACAAGCAGCTCATCGGCCTGGAGCGGAGGGGCAACCAGGGCATCTTCGGATGCCTGTCCTACGTAAGTAGCGCTGCGGGCAGTTTTTCAACAAAGTTGGGGGAGGGAAAGAAAGTACGGAGGTTCAGTTCTGCTCGACCAATAAACCACAAAACTTCGTGAGTTGCTAACTCGTATTCTGAATGATTCTGCCTCAGATTTCTTTTTACACTTTTTTGTGTTGAACGTGTTTCAAAAAAAGATTATTAAAATTTTCATCTTAGTTATGAATTATGAAAAGTGTCCGTCTAAAGTTGGTACAGGGATCTCAACCCTGTTGTTTACTCAGTCACTGACCCAGTTTGCACCGCGCAAGCCAGTTTCCTGCCACTCGCCGCAACCGACTTTGGCCATTTTCGCGTCCACTTGCCGTCCGTAACAAACGCAAAGTTTATTGTTTGTTGTTGTATTTTTCCTTTCAGGAAAACTCGCCGTGCGGGGCGAGCAAGTCGTCGCTGCTGTCGGTGTGCATGCGGCGCAAGGTGCCGAGCGACGAGAACCTCCACGAGATCGCGCCCCTGCCGCGGTGGTCGCGCTACGCCAGCGCGGCGGCGCGGGACGACCTCATGGGCGGCCCCGGCGGCATGGGCAGCACCATCCGGCGCCGGCCGCGCTCCGTGTGCACCGTGGGGCCGACGGGGCCGGCGGGCATGGCCGGCCAGGACCCCAAGCGCTACACCTGGGCCGCCGAGGACGAGGAGGCCACCCCGCGGATGGTGAGCCCCGGGGCAACACGGGGTGGGGGCATCACGGCGACAATGGCGGTGGTATTTACTTTCGCTCATCTCGCCTGACCGGCCGCCAAAAGAAGGAAGCGTCCACCCGGGTCCTCCGGTCGTCCGGGCGAGGCAGAAGAAAAGGCGGCGTCTTGGCCGGCAAAGGGCGGCGGCGGTCCGTTCGCCCCGCCGCGCCCCGCCGCGCCCCGCCGCGCATTCCGCCGACCCCATCCGGCCATCCGGCCCGTCCGCCTGAAAGGACCGCTGTGGTGGCGACAGCGGGGAGACAGGCGGCGTGGCGCGGCGGGGCACGGCGGGGCGCGGCGCGGCGGGGCGCACGGCGGACCACCCGACTCGACCGGACAGCCAAATCTCTGCCGCTAGATGCAGTGCGTGGCCGCAGAGGAAGAGGCCGCCGCTCCTAGTGGCGTGGCGTGTGGCGTCCATTGACCTCGGCGACGTGACGCCTGGCAGGGCTGGCAGCGGCGCGACGGCCCGAGAGGAGACGAATGGAAGCAGCGTCGGGAAATAAAATAAAAACTAGAATAACAAAAAGAAACTCCGTGGCGTTGCCGCCTGGCGTCGCCCTGGCACTGGCCGCGACGATGAGACCCTGGCGCAAGCCAAGCAGGCCCAGCCCAGCCAGGGGACGTAAGTAATTTTGCCACCGTCGCCTTGGCTCGCTCCGGCGTTCGGGCGAGACGTGCCTCGTCCTTCCCTCACCCTCAGCCGCTGCCGCGCTGCCGCGCCGACCTCGAATGAATTCAGCGTTTCTGAGAGGGCGACCACTCCGGGCCACGCCCTCCGAGCCAAGCCTCGCACACACACGCACACACACGCGACGCGCGGACAACAACAACCCACAAGGGAGTTTTCACACACCGTGTCGTGTCGCGGGGACTAAGCGTGCTCCACGAGACGGATGAGAAACCGCGTTATAGTTCGAGTCAAGGCCGCGTGAGGGCGCCCTGCCGCGCCATTCCGCACGGACGTGTCGTCGCTCTGTCTCTCTCGCACCCCCGCGGGCCACCCCGCGAGTCCGACAGAGACAGAGCGACTCTTTCGGAATCAGTGTACCGCCGCGGGACTGTCGCGGTGTCACGCTGCGGGGCAAAAAGGGGGCGACAGCGCCGGGGGGCCCTTGCTCCGGGAGGGAGATTTGAACCCGAGACCTCACCTTTCGTTTTCCAGGAACGCGCGCGGTCCGTGCGGCAGGACGGCGACTACGGCAGCATGGTGGACATCGACAGCGGGTCGCGCTACATGAGCTACAGCACCGAGTACCTGTCCGGGCCGCCGCAGCAGAACGGCGCCTGCCCCGCGCACCCACGACTGCCCCCGCCGCCACCACCGCCCGCGCAGCCCCCGCCGAGGTGCGTATACAGTGCACTGTGAAACTAAATTTTGACAAAACTCGATTCACATTCTCATCCCGTTGTCCTGATTGCAGGAAGCACGTGAGCTTCGCGCGCTCGCACACGCTCACGTCCTTCGACGACGCCGTGGTCGGGCTGAACCGCGTGTCGGCGCGCAGCCAGGAACGGCTCATCGACGGCAAGAAGCAGTCCGAGCTGCCCGACGGCATCCTGCAGCAGTCCGCCCACCAGCAGCAGCAGCAACAACACCAGTTGCAACAGCAGCAGATGCAGTTGCACCACCAACAGCAGCTACAGTTACAGCAGCAACAACAACAACAGCAGCAGCAACAGCAGCAGCATCAGCACCAGCAGCACGTCGTGGTTGTCGAGAAGGTGAAGCGCGCCCCCATGAAGACGCAGGCCACGCAGACGGAAGTGTGTCTCGGCCGGAGGCCTCTGCCCGCCAATTTCCTGTCGCTCAGCCCGAAGACGGCCCTCAAGGTGCGGACGGACGGGTTACACTCACATACACTACCAAAAGAAGAGAATTACTTCATTGATTTGTTTTGTTGCAGGTGAGAATGCAGGGCGCCACGCCGCGGCCGCTGACGAAGAGCTACTCGGAGGCTGGCGGGCACTTCGACCTGCACGACGGCCAGGGTCGCCTCGGCGGCCTGGGCACCCCCGCGCCGCCCTACCCCTTCCACCTCGAGTCCGTGGACCTGGCGCACGAGCCGCTGCAGCGAACGCAGTCCGAGGAGCCGCCGCGGTCGCCCAGGCTCGTCTCCGCGCCGGGGCCCTTGCCTCGGCCCGCCCCTGCGCCGCCCCACGGCCCGCTGGGGCACCTGCCCCACATGCCGCAGGGGCACATGCAGCAGGGTCACATGCAGCAGGGTCACGGACAGGGTCACATTCCTCAAGGACACAGTCCGCAGGGCCACGGTCCCCAAGGCCACGGCCCGCACGGGCTTGTCCCTCAGACGCACATTCCGCAGGGCCACGTTCCACAAGGACACATTCCCCAGGGACCTCCCAGCCACATGCCGCAAGGACACGCTAGCCAAGCGCACCACCCGCCCCAGACGCACCCCTCGCAGGGCCGGCCGCTGCAAGGCCACGGCCAGCCCTCACTCCCCGGACCAGGGTACCAGCATCCACCGCAGTCCACTCCTGTCAAGGACGCCAGGTGCGTTGTCCTGCCCATCCTCGCAGAGCTGTGTTGTCGGAGACTTCCCGTTGCTTCAACGCTTTCTCGGCTTTTGTTTGCCAGGCAACTAGCGACTCACGCTCAACGGGACCACCACGACCCCCGCGACGGATGGGACCAACGGGACCCCCGCGACAGGGACCCCCTCGGCAGCAGGAGAAGCTCCATGGTGAGGTTTCGTCGCAAGTGTTTAAACGATGTTGTGTCTCCACTTGTTGACGTCATCTTCACCAACCCGCAGGACATCCTGGAGGCGCGCGACCTGGAGGACCGCCGCGCCACCAAGTACAAGGAGATCCTGATCGACTTCGAGCCGCAGCCGTGCGGCGCGCCGTGCGCGGGGCCCTGCGTGGGGCCGTGCCCCTCACCGCCGTGCAGCGGGGTAGCCCCTAGTGGCGGCCAGGGCGGCGGCCAGGGCGGAGCGCAAGGCCCGGCCGGCAGGCGGCGGCACAGCTTCCTCAGCAATGCCAGCGACAACGAGATCTTCATCACCGACCCACCCATGGGCGGGCCGCAGGACATTTGCCACGAGGTGAGTCAGCCCCGGTGTGGGACGATGGATGTACCCCACGATGAATGTACCGGGCGATGGTTGTACCCACCCCGGTAGGCCGCACGCAAGGCCGCACGTCGGGAGTACGTTCATCGCGCGATGGCTGTACCTTCTTCCGATCAGATTTTAGTGGGTACAACCATCGCGTTATAGTTGTACCCCCTACGGAGAAGACTGCACCAGCACAAGTATCCACTTCTCCATTTCACGCTCCATTTCTTCCAGTGTGTGCTGTCGGACCACTCGGAGCAGGACGATGGCATGGACGAGGACGACGTCGGTGACGTGGAGGACGACGAGGACGACGACGAGGAGGACGAGGACGGCGTGGTGCCGACGGGCAAGCTGATGCATCCTCGGCTGCGCATGGTGGGCATGGCGCAGTCCGACTCGCTGGAGGACGAGTTCCACGAGAACCTCATCTACCGCGGCCTGCTGCGCAAGAAGAGCGTGTCGCTGGAGGACACGTCCACCGCGGACCCCGACCTCGCCGTCTTCTCCAGGGACCAGTAAGCCCCGCGCCGCCACACTCTCCTGCGCTGTTGGCGGAATGCCTGTCTCACGCTGACGCCCATGCGCAGGTTTCGACGCCAGTCGAATCGCTTCGAGGGGCAGCAGGGCTCGGCGGCCGGCTCCTCCGACAGCAGGGCCTTGACGGCGAGGAGGGTGAACGGCAAGGCGGGGCCGGGCGGCAGGTCTTCGCCCTTCGCGTCCTCGGACTCGCTGGCCGACACGAACGGCATCTGGAACGAGAGCCAAGCCACGGTACGAGGGTGGTGGTGTCGCTACGTGAGGCCCGGCAGGCTACTCGAACGACTTGACGAACGCGGTGCTCCCCCAGGTGCTGCAGGCCGACTCCGACAACAACAGCGCCACGGACCAGAGCCCGCAGCAGCAGCAGCTGCAGCCGCAGTCCATGCACAGCCTGCACCCGAGCTCGGCGGCGCTGACGCCGTCCTCGCGCAGGAAGCACATGCTGATGGTGCAGCACCAGCAGCGCTCCTCCATCGACACCGAGGTCCTGGAGGAGGACCCCGAGCCGGGACAGGTGCGTCCTCGCCGCAGGGCCGCGTGGCGGTACATAGAAGTCAACTGTATTCTAGAATTATCGATGGAAGTGTTGTGTAAATATTCATCTGGGAAATCCTATTCCTGACCCTCTTTCTCTTTTCCAGCGCGTGCAGCCTCCCCAAGTAACCATCACAGCCGCACGGGACCAGAGGCAAGTGCAGCGGCGTTTGGCTTTGGTTTTATTTGGGCTTCAGTCTCTCTATGACGCCAGAATGGGGCCCAACTAACGGTGCGTTCGTGTTTACAGCCACAAGCAGACCAAGCCGCGGCGAGACGAGCAAGCCCAGCAAGTGCCTTCGGCCTTCAGTACGTGCAGCTTTACGAAACAATTATCACAAATTCATAAATGTCATCAAATAATCTGACATTCTGTACTCGAATCAGAGCCAACGTCAGCGGGAGGCTCCGAGCACGGGGACACCACGACGGAGGACTACGCCACCGCCACCGAGAACAACTCCGGCACGGACACGTCGTCGCGGCGCTCCGCCGGCCTCGTGGGGGACGACGGCGCGGTGCTCGGGGACGCGGGGGCGGGCGGCGCGGCCGCGGGGGACGGCCACGGAGGGCGCGCCGCAGAGCAGCACCACCACCAGGCCGGGGCGGCGGCGAGGATGGAGCCGGTGAGGAACGGCGGCGGCAGCTCGTTCGAGAGCGCGTCCAGCCACTACAGCCTGTCCAGGGCCGACGACGTCTACGACGACCAGCAGGTGCGTTCACAGCCGCTGCTTCAACGGCAGGCACTCCTTCGAGCTTGTCAGCGAGGAAAAGTCGCGGTGGAAGTAGTCGGAGATTCCTCCCTAAATGCCTGTTCGTTCCAGTTGGTGCCCCTGGCGCCGGACGAGAGCTCCAGCGACGGCCAGACGCTGCGGGCCCAGCCTCTGGAGCCTCCGCCGGGACGCAGGTCAGCCACGCCCCTGAGCGCAGACGACAGCAGTAGTTGCGGCAGGTAGGGCAGGGAGGGCCCGGGCGGGGCCCAGGCTGAGGGGCCCAGGCTGAGGGGCCCAGGCTGAGGGGCGGCCGCCGAGGGACTCACTCTCAGTGTAGCGGCGGCGCTGCACCGGGACAAGCCGCCAGCGGCTCCAGCCCGTGGGAATGCTAGCGCACTGGGATTTATGTTAGTTCCCGGATAAGGGGGATTGGCCACTGCGAAACCCGTTTTTACCGAGGAAACCCAGCGGGAAAGGGGGAGCAATGGAGCGGGCGAGCCGGACTTGTGGCTCAGCCCGTCGTAAACACATGCCGGGGTCGGCCGGGCGGGGCTTGCTTACCTCCGGAGTGCTCCCACACGGCACTCTCGAGGTTGGCGGAGTACACCCACCACATCATGCATGCTCAGCCCCGAGGGGGACTTTTTCCGACGGCGGCCTTTTTGTCGGCAGCTACAGCGTGGAGGGGAGCTCTGTGGACGCCAAGCACGCCAAGGAGGACTACGACCAAAGCCCCGCGCAGCAGAAGCTGCAGTACCAGAAGCAGCAGCTGGAGCAGCAGCAGAAGGAGAAGCTCCAGCAGCAAATGCGCAAAAAGCAGCTGCGGGAGAAACTGCTCCGCGACCAGCAGCAGCAGCAACAGCAGCTTCAGCAGCAGCAGGCGCGCGACCTGCAGCAGCAGCTGCAGCAACAGCTGGAGATCGAGGAGCAGAAGCTGCAGTTGCTGAAGCAGCAGCAGCTCCTCCAGGAGCAGCAGCAGCTGCAGCTGCAGCAGCACGAGCAGAAGCAGGCGCTGGCGGGCCGCAAGGCGCAGCACGCCCAGCTCATCAAGCCGGGCTCCGTCTCGGACGAGGAGCACAGCGGCCACTGCTCGTCGTCCGGCTACTACGAGTCCCCCGCCGAGGACGACGACCACGAGCAAGTGCGGCGCACCAGGTGAGTGGGACGCCGGCACACTGGGAACTGCTTCCGGAAAAGTTTGCAGGGAAGGCGATAACTCTGTGGAATGTGCTTCCCCGGCAGGACGCGGCGCGACTGGACGGAGGAGGAGAGGCGGCGGGTGAAGCGCGGCTTCAAGCTGGACTTCGTGCCGGAGGGCGCGGCGGCGGCGGGCGTCTCGGCGGGCCGGGACGCCAACGGCAAGAGGACGCCGAACGGGCGCAGGGCCGCGGCCGACCGCCGCTCGCCGGGCAGGTCCCCGGGACGCGCTGGCGGGGCGGCGGCGGCGGGCCGCGGCCAGGAAGGCGGCGCGCCCGGCCTCACCCGAAGCCCCGGGGTCCACGACGGCCTCAGGGCCACCTCGCCGCGCGGCACTCCCGACGAAGTGAGTCGGGTTCAAGCACCGAGATGAGAGCTTTTCTTTTTATTCCCTTTCCAGCCCGAACCCTCCTAAACGAGGCCCCCCAGCAGACTGTTTCCGCGCAGCGTCTGTCTCTCTCGCCCCCACGCGGAAGGGTCTGACTTTTCCTTTTGCCACAGCTGGCGCCCTGCTCCGTCCACGGCGTGCTGGGCGCGCACGGCCTGGAGCCCAGCCCGGGCCACACCGGGTCGGGCTCCTCGGACGAGTCCGGCCGCGAGGGCGCGTCCCCGAGGAGACACCGTCGGCCCCGGCGAGGAGGGGCGGGCGGGCGCAGTCCCGCGGGGGGCGGACCGGGCGGACCAGGCGCCCGCAGTCCGCTGTGTCCCGAGCACAGGTAAGCGGGGCAGGCAAGCAGCAAGCAGGCCGACGGCCGCGTAATTTATTTCTTTCGCTGCCGCTCCCCCTCTCTCTCCATCTCCCTCTTCCTTCCGCGCACTCGCGACCTCGTTACGCCCCTCCTTTCCTGCCTCTTGCACTTTCACCCCGCGCGGCCTGCGGCCTGCGGCCCGGCTGCGTTGGCAAAAATTTATTACAATAATTATTCCGCGCTCGTCGTACTTTATGGATGCTGCGCGGTGCGGTGGTGGCTGCCGAAAGATGGGCGGGTGGGGCGGGGCGATGTGGGCAGGAAGGCCGCCGCCATGCCGTCGCGCTGGTCGCTCTGACTGCCAATGAATGCAGAGGCCGTGCCGCCCCGCTGTCTCCAATGTTCCCAAGACGTGCCACGCGTTCCAGCGTCTCGAGGAAGGACGGCCTGACGGCCACCCACTCTGTAAACGGAGGCATTGATCCGCGGCGATACCCCGTGCCGCCTGGACCGGCCTAGCCGACGTGGGGTATGTCCGCTCACCCAGATTGCGTGCCTGTTGTTGCAGGGTCCGGCGCTGGAGCGGCTCTGACAACGAGGCCGCCGATGAGGCCAGGGGCACTGCTGCAGGGGCGGCGGCGTCTCGACGGAGAGGGTCCATCCCCATCCAGCGGAGCCCCGACGCCCTGGCCGTGGACGCGACCGTCACGGGCGGCGGCACGCTGCCCCGCGCCAACCGCCTCAGCCCCAACCGCTACGCCGGCGTGGGGTCCGGGTCCCCGGGCAGGCGGATAGGCAAGCGGAAGGTAGGCGCAGGGCCGCTGGACTCGGCGATACTCCCTGTCTCGGCGCTCGGCGAACGCGGCGTATTGACGCGGTGGTGCTTGCAGAGTCAGGGCGCGGCCAGTCCGGAGGGCTCGGGGCTCAAGGCGCTGTCGGCGGAGTCCCTGCGGTCCGTCAGCCCGGGCAGCGACTCGGTGTTCTACAACGAGGGCCAGAGCCAGGTCGACCACGTGTGCCACCACTGCGGCCGGGAGGTGGCGGAGGGCGGCGAGGGCCACGACGCGGAAGCGCCCGGCCACCACCGCGGCCACCAGGGCCACCAGGGCCACCAGCCCGACATCGTGCAGCCGCCGGCGGACTTCGCGGACTCCCCGAACGGCCACGGCGCCGGGGCGTGCGAGGGCGCGTCGTCGGCCGCGGGGAGCGGCCGGTCCTCGCGCGGCGGCCGCGGCGTGCCGGGCAGGCTCTACAAGAAGGCGGACCAGCGCTTCCGCTCCGAGGAGCGATCCCTCGACCGACGGCCGCACCGCTTCCACGGCGAGGGCACGCGCGCGCGCAGCGAGGAGCGCATCCAGGGCGAGCGCCGCTCCAGGTCAGTCACTCCCGTCACTCCGCCATGTCCAACGCGTGCAGTAACTTCGTGATGTGAATTTATGATTTAATTGTTCTGCCCCTTGTGACGTTCTGCTTGCTCTTTGCAGGTTTCGGCAGCACGCTCGCTCCACGGACGCGAGCATGGACGACCTGGAGCAGCGCGCGTCGGGCTCGTCCACCAGCGTGGCCATGCGCAGCCCCGAGGGCCCGGAGGGCTCCACGTCGGACCCCGAGGACGAGGACGGCCACGTGTACGCGGACTCGTTCCGCGCGCACCACTGGATCTTCATCGGGGACTCGGAGGAGGCCAGGGTGTGGCAGCCGCCGGACGAGCTGGAGCGCGCCGAGGCCGCGGCCGGCCAGGACGAGGCGGCTGGCGCGGGCGGGCGGCGCGGCTCCACCGAGTCCACGCTGTCCGAGCGCGACTTCCGCAACCGCTTCACGTACATCACCCACCGCATGGTGCACCGCAAGGTGGCTGGCGAGATGTACCGCCGCCGCCTCGCGTCCGAGCCCATCGACTGCGACAAGACGGTCAACGTGCGCCGCGGCTCGGGCGAGTTCGGGCTGCGCGTGCACGGTGCCAGGCCCGTCGTCGTGGCCTCCGTGGAGCCCGAGTCCCCCGCGCTCAGCTCCGGCCTCGAGGTGGGCGACATCCTCATCAGCGTCAACGGCGTCAACGTCCTGGAGGCGCCACACTCCGAGGTCATCCGCATCGCGCACGCAGGTTAGTAGCCATGCGTCAATACCCCGTGGCGGCGATATACTCCAGGCCGGCCGGTCGGCCCATGGAGCGCGCGGGGTATAGCGCCTTGCGGCCGCCGCATAGGCACGCCCATGCGCACGGCCGCGCGCGGGCTGCCTACCCCGCCGTTCACAGGCTGACCCCGTGCTGACTTTGCACTGCTGGCAGGCTCGGAGCAGCTGCTGCTGGAGGTGGCGCGCACCTGCCACGTCCTCACCCCCACCGTGCGCGAGCCGGGGGCCCGCTCGCCGCTCTTCTCCGGGTACCTCTGGCGCCTCGGCTCCGGGGAGACGCGGTGGCTGCGGCGGTGGGTCGCCCTGCGCAAGGACAACTCGCTGTACTACTACAAGACTGACTCGGTAAGAGCGGGGCGTTTCGAAGGAAACGAGCAATGCGGGAATGGCGGGTACTCGAACCTCCACTGGTTGCAGGAGACGGACCCGCTCGGCGCGCTGCAGCTGTCGGGCTACACGGCGTCGCGGTGCTCGGAGGCGGGTCCCTCCGCCAGCCCGCACGCACACTGCTTCCGACTGACCAGGCCGCGCGGCCCGACGGCCACCTTCGCCGCGGACAACGAGGAGGCCGCCATGCGCTGGCTGGCGGTGCTCGGCCACTCCATCGAGAGGAACAACCACGTAAGGGCCCCACCGTCGGCAAGCTAGCGCTGCAAGAGTCCTTGTGTGAATCACCCCTGTCCCCTTCCAGGCCGAGCAGTGGCTCGAGATGAGCCGCTTCAACCTGCGGCTGGCGCCGTCCGCCGTGCTGCACCCCGACTGCATCGGCTACCTGGAGTGGCTGGACCGGCGGTGGCGGTCGTGGCGGCGGCGCTACTGCGTGCTCAAGGACGCCTGCGTCTTCTACTACCGCAGCGGTGGCTCCGATTCGGCCCTCGGTGCGCACTTGCCTTCAGCTTGTTTTGTTTGTTTTTAGTTTTTGGTTTTCTGATTTTCACCGGCTGTTGCAGGCATGGCGTGCCTCCACGGCTACCGGCTGCTGTCCACGACCATCGCCGGCCGGCGCCACGTCTTCGAGATGATCCCCCCGCTGGTGCACCAGCGCCACTTCTTCTTCAGCACGGAGACGGAGATGGACAAGAAGCGGTAAGTCCTGGCTGGAAGTTTGCCTCGTTAGCGCAATTTGTTTTCGTTACAAAGTTTACCCTGTTGTTCTTCCTTGCGGCCCTCAGGTGGATGTCTGCCGTGGAGTACTCCATCCTGCGCTGGGTCAAAGTGGCCTAGGGCCTGAAGGCGCTGCTGGAAGGCTGCTGAAAGCCCGTTTTGGCGACTTCACCTTCGCCGCAGTCTTCGCATGCATATCATTGTTGATTTGGAAGCAAGAGATTTGTCCGTTTTCTATGTTAAAAGGTAGAGTTATTTTAAAACCTATCGCTACAATTCACGTACGAGAGACGATTTTCTCAGTAACTTTAATTCTCAGACTTGATGCGTTTCGACTTAGAGGATCATATCGTCGATTAACGAATATGTACTTTACTAAAACGCCATATCGACAGAGTCTGATTATGATAAGAATGACAAAATGGTGCGGACAGCCGCCTGCCATCCGCCGGACACAGTTTTGTACGCACGATATCATCGACTCTTTTTCCTGACCCTTCCTCTATAGAACAATCCCTCCACCAAAATTAACTTGGAAATTGGCGGCGTTTGTCCCACATGGTGCTGCATTGTGTTTAGGTATAAGGATCAGAATAAGTGACTTTTTCAATTGAATTGGTTTTATGATAATGAGTTACCTCCTATTAGCGACATTACATTAAAATCCACCAAGGATTACAATCCACCAAGGATTACAACCTAGGGGCCAATGAATGCTTATCAGGCTCAAAAATGGCTCTTCCTTGTTAGATCAAGGAAATATGACTGTCCCCAGCTGACCAAAATATTCAAAAACCAAATAAAATAAAGTTTTTCTTGACATTTTGGTGTAGAATTCCGAATGGTACTAAGAGGCAATGGCCTCCTCTATTCTTTCTTTTTGTAAATCCCCTTCAGTGGTGGTCTCTTGACCCGTCCCAGCCCGTCCACGAGGAACACACCATGTGATCCGCTGCACTCTTGGCACGTAATAGTGCCCATTTTCGGCGCAAGTTTGGTAAGAAACTGTTCATTTGATTCTTTTTGCCAAGAAAACATTGCAAAATGTTTTTTAATGCATTGAAAACAACGTATTAGCAGACTGCTCGATTCTGCTAATTCTAAATTTCATTTTCACTGGCAAACAGTAAATAAAACTACTTGTCCAAGATTGTTTGGGTTATTCTTATATTTATTTGGGACAGAATAATGTGAAATGTCATGTTAGTGCTACTCACTCATGATCTTACGAAATGTAATTGAATTAGTTAGTTCTAGAGTTGTTAAAATAGAGGTGGAGGTTTGTCGCCTATACGGGACATAGATTGCAGTTTATGTTAATACTGATTGTTCATGTTTGAAAAATTTATTTAATTTATGTAAAAAGTGTACATGATCCTGTAAAGAAACAAGAATGAACTGTGAAATAAGTACTTTCAAATTGTTAACAAAGAACTGCCAATATTGTCATTTGACTGCCAGACGACATTTCATTTAATTCGTGCTCAATATTCATTTGCCAGGTGATAAAAATCACTGTGGTCGCACACCTGAAGCACAAGCGTGAGACTGAATTGTTCTTTGAGAGCTACCTTGTCGTATACACCTTACATACTCAGCGCATACTTGCCACAAGGTAACTTGTGCGACGAGCAGTACTTTTGTAAACAAATTTGATGGATTATTAAATTGAACATTAACAAATTTTGACCTTGAGTTCTTTTTCCTTTGAGTCATTGCATTCAACTGACACACAGCTGCACCCAAACTTTTATCTTTCGCTTCCGTTCTTCGAAACAGGCGCGCTGCTAATTTTGTTGGTGCTGTGAACGTGTATAAAAAACGTTAACTGGTTTCACGAAACATAAAAGCCAATACCAGATTCTCAGAGTCTAACAATGAAGGGGTCCTTTACATACTAAAACGAAATGAGAACTCACGTACTACAATGCAAATTTAAACGCACCATACGACGACAAATCTTTAAAAAAAAATTAAAAGTGATCGCAAAAAATTTTTGCGTGCTTGGTGAGGCCATTGGAGGTAAACAATGTGGGAGTTTAGTCGGAACGGCTCCGAAGAGCAAAGCTGTCTTTTGCGACGCCCGAGACCCGCCTCGCTTTATCAGATAAAAAGAGATAAAAAGAGGCGGTGAGCGCTGAAGCGCACAGTCGGGTATACGCCGCAGCATGAAGGACAGGCTGGCCGAGCTTCACCAGGTAGGACTCAGCCCAGGACGCGATTCAAGTGCTCACTTGCATGTGGAGCCTGACAACTCAAGCCATCATGTCAAATCATCCAAAAACCACGCACAGATGCGCCGATCGTTTTAAAACGCATGTCTCACACGTTGTTGGCCCCTTGTTATAACCTGCCATATGAGGCACGTAATTATGTATATGCACCATTAATGAGCCAAACAATAACCGAGTTTGCGGGTTTAATAAAACTTTACAGGAGGTGGTGGACAAGCTGGAAGACCAAGTCAGATCAACCCAATGGTACGATGTGCCCGTCAAGAAATCATCATTCAAACACACGGACGAAAGGCCACTGCTCGAAAAGTCAAAAAGTATCACACAGAAATTTTTAAGAAAGGAGGTACGATTAAGCATCAATAAAAGTACTTTTTGAGTGCATGGCGATAGCAATAACACTCACTTATTTTCTTTTGATTTAGTGCCTTTGATTGCTATGTTTTAGGATAACAAAAGCTCGGTCAAAAATGCGAAAACAGACAGGTTTTTGGCTAACCTTCAAGCCAAGGTAAGCACATTGTTTGCTTTAATTTTGCAAACATTCTGATAGTGACATGGAATAATTTATATACTTCCTCTGCAGATGCAAATCATAAAATCAGAAGTGTCGACAATACAATGTAATACGAAGGAAATCACAGCATTACATACCAAAGCTCTTATGGTCCCACGCTTAGCTCCAGGTATGTATCTATGCATGTAAGGACTTAAATTTTTGTAAACATATTTTTAAAACATTGTTCTTCTTATTACATGTAGAAGAAGAAATGAGGATAAAAGAACTGGAGCAAAAAACGCGAGAGGCAAATGGACGCATTACAAAACTCATGGCAGGTAAAAGTACAATTTACAATCAATACATTTTTTTGTTATAACAAGCTCAACAATTTTTAACTTTTTTTTGTTGGTTTGCAGAAGTGGAATCAATGAATGTTCCAGACTCAGCCCCGATTCAAAGAATCCACTCGGTGCAGCTTTCCCAGGGGTACAAGTCAATTGAACAGGCCATGGGGAGGTACGAGGCGGAGCTGCGACGCTATGCAAAGGCCCTACACCAGCAAGTGGCGCAGCAGATGGCGATAGGTTTGTACCAGGGTCTCGCCTTATCGGCAGATAGTGGTGGGTGAATCAGTAGAGGCAGGGTTTTCGTTGATCCGCCGTCAAAGCTTCTCAGCGGGACTAGCCCTGACATTGGTTTCCGGTCGGTAGGGACCATTACAAAAGGTTCTACTCTTAAAAACTTTATTTTTTTTAATGCCAATTTTCAGCCAATGGTGGCCGGTGTGACTCAGGAGTCGTGGACGCCTACATTGAAAATGGAAAACTCGGAATGTTTGTCGATAACGTGAGTGCTCTTTAACTGGTTCAGCTTGCATGCGCTCAGCAAGATAAAAGAACTTTGGAAATGGCTTTCCAGTACTTGACGACGGAACAAGAGGCGAGGACGATGCTGCAGGATGTGCAAGACCGGCATAAGGAGCTCCTGGCTCTGGAGAAGTCCATCGTGGAGGTGCAGGAGCTCTTCGTCTGCATCCACCAACTCACCGAGCACCAGGTGAGTGGCGCCGAAAGACAACAGTGGAGCAGCGTCGACAGTGTAGCCAACTGGAAGGCACGCATCGACCCGAGTCGATGCGCGGACAGCACAAAGTGACAGGTCTCTGCAACACTCAGTGAAGTAATTGACGAATGTGCTTCTTCAGGGCGACATGATCGACAGCATCGAGGCCCACGTGGAGGCCGCCAACGCCAAGGTGGCGGACGGCAGCAAGAATCTCAAGTCAGCCAAGAAGAAGCAGAAGTCTGCTCGAAAGGTAAGTTCAGTAACCAGTTACGGAGCGAAGATCGCGGCCTTGCGAAGGATTTTTCTTTGCTTGCATTATCACCAAAACTTACTTTTAAATCTTTTTCCAGAAAAAAGTTATTTTAAGTGCAGTGGGTGCAGCTGTTGCCACTGGACTTATTGCTACACTTATATTAGTTTGATAGTTCCGAGCTGTCTGTAAATTTTACCTGATAGTCCGTCCACAGAACACGTTATTCAGTTGAAAGAAACGAGAGAGAAACGATTCACAAGAATATTGTAAATAAATTTATTTTGGTGACATCTGGCATCTTTTTCCCCCCTTTGTCACTGTAAACACAAATCCGCGAGCTCACGGCCTGGAACCACGCACAGGCGGTGCTTGTGTCCACGCCCCCTGCCCTGCTGCGGCCGGGGATGCTGCTCTGCTACTTGAGCGCGGTATTCATGAGTTCAATTTCCAGGCGAAAACTGGAATAACGCGTAACGCCGACGGCCCCAGCGCACGCACGCGCGGGAGGAAAGGAGAGAGAGGGAGAGTTGGCGATCTGGCGGTGCAGGCGGTGGGAGCGAGGGAGAGCACGCGCGAGGCCTACCCCACCGCGACGCGCCGCCGCGCTGGGCCGTGCGGCCGACTGGGCTGGGCTGGGCTCGGAGGGGGGCCTGCTCTGCCTGCTCTGCCTGCTCCGCCGGACGGGACGGGGCGAGCGCCAGGGCACTGCCAGGGCCCCGCCACCGCGCCGCGCTCAGTGCGGACTGACGCCCCGCGACGACCGGACGCACGCAGACTCGCGCCGCGCCGCGCCGGCCGCCAAGCACGTGCCGCGACACGCGACCGAGCGAGCAAGCGGGGAGGCGAGGGATGACGGCGTGCTCGCCGGCGGGGCGGCCACCACCACGCGCTGCTTGAGGTCGCCCAGCACCACGGCGGTCCCGGACGACTGTCCCGGACGGACCAGGCCGCCGGCGAGGAGGCGGCCTCGGACACCTGTCAGCGACCAGCATGATGCCGCTGTCTCTCCTCGGAGGCGCGGGCGCCACGTCCGAGGACGCCCCGCCCCTCCGCGACGACGCCAGCGCCGCCTGCGACGCCACCACACCGGCAAGGCGGCAATCGCACTACAGTGACTAGAACGTGCCAAAGTGAGGGCTGATCCCTTCGGACGCCCCGTGCAGAGTGTCTGTGTGAGTGTGTGCGTGGGACGACTGGGACGCCGACAAGAGGATTGGACCAGCAGGGGCCCCTAGCAGCAAGCCTAGCAGTGCCGCAGCTGACACCCACCGCCTGCCACTGTTCCCGTCCCCCGGCTCCCTCAGGTCGCTCAGGTAAGGAGGCTTACTAGTGTTATTCCTCTTACAAGTGGCGCGGCGCCGAGCCGGGCCCTGGGCCGGGCGTGGGTTCAAATCCCCCGCACGCTAAGGGGCTTTGGGGTTCGCCATTGTTGGCTGACGCGCGAGTCACCAGGCCGCGTCGCCCGGGCTTACTGTCAATACACAATTGTCAATTTTATTTTCGTTTTACCTTTCAAAACAGCTCGGGTACCTTAATTAACGGTGAAAAAGCATCCACTGCCGACACTGACTCCGCGTGAGGTCCACCAGACCTCGCTGCTGCAGCCTCACTTTTCAATAAACAAAGCCCCGTGCCGCTCGCCGCGTGGCGCCATTAACATTACAGTTGTGGGTTCGACTCCCGGCGCCGCGCCGGTTTTTCCGGCCGCGCGTTGGGTTCGCCGGCCGGCGGGTAAACAGCGCGTTCGCTGGCGCGCTGGCGCCGGTCCAAGGCGTGATGGATCGCTCCTAATAGTGGGCGGCGTAATTATTTACAGACCATAAAATTTGGCGCTCTGCACTGCTCGGTCCTCTCCCAAGGCCGGCGTTATTATTGGCAGTTTAACGCACTCCAGCGGCTGCAGGGGCTGCAGGGGCTGCAGGACTCCAGACCCTGGACTCCGGGCCCTGGACTCCAGGCGGACCAACTTTACAGCCCGATTATCGCTTCTTATCAAAGCCAATCCGAGTGGCGCTGGGACGCGCTGGGACGGCGCGCGTGGCCCAGTTTAAACAGTGGGTATCGGCGCTTCTAATTGAACCACCCCTGCCCTGCCCGGCCCTGCCCTGCCTGTCCCCCGCGTCCCCGTCCGGCCGACCGGCTCGCTCCGCAGCCCCACAGCCTCACCCCACCCCGGGGACGGCCTGGCGTCCGCGTGGCCGCGCCGTGGCCGCGCCGTCACGCTCGCCGTCGTTTCAATCGATTTGGCTTTGCTAAGCTTCACCTGAGGCGGACGCCCAACACGGCCAGCACGCCCGCACGGCAGCCGCCCTCAAAGGCCGGGACTTGTATTAGCGACTCAAAGGGAATCCCAGTCCCCAGCTCGCTGTTGGACCCGACCAATCCGGTGCCTTTGCTATTGTCGGCGATGTTATGGCGACGGCCTCAAAGTCGCGTAAAGTCGCGCAAAGCAGGACGTCGTGGGCCGCTGCCTCTCCTTCTCCTCGCCCCTCTCGTTCCACGACCCCTCTCCATCGCTCTCTTTCTCCTTTGAAATCAATTTTCGGAATGTACTGAGGCGGCCGCAAAGGAGCTGACAGGCAGAATTTCCTCCCTGACGCCACGGCATTACTTTGCCCACACTCAATACCGAAGCATTAGTTTGCTCGCACAATGCGACGTGCCTCAGTGGGCGCGTGTGTGTGCGTGTGTGTGCGTGTGCGTGTGCGTGTGAGTGTGTGTGAAACGCAACGACACGAGAAGATCGCTGCTGCTTCTTCAACTCTCGCATTCTCTCGCGCATTTGTCACCACCCCTCTCCTCGTCCGTGTGTGTGTGTCGGGTGTGAGCGAGTGAGACAGTGTGTGCGTGCGCACGTACTACAATGTATGTGTTTGTGTGTTCTCCGCCCTCCTACTATATTATATGCCGAAACGTAGCGTCAGCTTCGACAGGAACAAATGGAGGGCGGTGCACAGTGTGGTGGCTGCGTGGGTGCCGCCACCCTTTCCCCGGCGTCCGGGCGGACCGAGGAGGGCGGACGCGCGGCCGGGCCAGGCCGGGCCGACACGCCACTACTTTGCGGAAGTATTTTGATGCGGCGCCGTTTATGACTCTTTTTATAGGGAAGCGGGTGGACGCACTCCACCGTGAACGACCCTCGGCCACGCCGCCGCACTGCCCCGCACTGCCGCACCGCACTGATGATGCGCCCAGCGCCCCGTGAAGCGGCCCTGGAGCGGGCGTGAAGCCACTGAGGCCGAGACCTTGACCGCCCCGCGGGCCGCGGCCAGCCCTGTCGCCGCTCTGTCTCTCTCGCACCCCTGCGGCCCGCCCCATGACAGAGACGGCGCGAGGGAGGAGTCTGCGGCCGCGATGAGGGCTTTACGGCGTGTCGTCAACGCGGCGGACGCGGCCGGATGGCGCGGCCCTTTCGGAAAGCGCTTCGCTGCAGCTGCAGCCTGGAACGCTGGAATAACTTACAGGATGGTTTTTGCGTCGCTCTGTCTTTCTCGCGCCCATGATGATGCCCCATGACTGGCTACTGCACCATGTGTGGAACTCCAACAGTGTAGGGTCCGCGTTAGCAGGTCCCCGCGGTGTGGCGGTCCGCCGACCTGGCTTACGGTGTGGCCGGGGGAGCTCCCTGACTCCCTGCGCAAGCTGCTGCCGGCTAAGTCAACCTCCGCCCACCTCGGCGCGCCTCGGCGTTGACCCAGGTCAAGTCCCCCGAGCGCCGTGCCGCCGTGCCGCCGTGCCGCGCCGAGCAACGCGGAGCCAGTGACGCCGTGCGTGGGCGGTCCTCGCCCAGGCGCCTCCCCCGGGGCCGTGTTGTCTCTCTCGCACCCCCAGGCGGGCCCCGCGAGTGCGAGAGAGACAAAGACCACTGGGGTCGGCGGCTCCGGCCGGCATTACTCGCGAGACAAGTTTCTAATCCACACTCGGCGGGGCTCGCGCGGCTTGGCTGCGCTGCTCTAAGCCGATGGGGGGGACGCCGCGCGAGTCGCAGCCGCGCTGCCGCCAGCCTCGCCTTTGTCGCCGCCTTTGTCGCCGCCTTTGTCGCCGCCTGGACGTCGTGCTTCCATTTCCTGTCGCAGCTACGCGGCGCCCCCACAGCAGCCAATCGCTTCGTCGCTCCGCCCTGTCGCACTCTCGGGGCACTCCATCGGGGGGCAGGAGAGACGGCGGCAACCCGCTCTGAATCAGTCCGTTATGATCTCGGACAAAACGGCGCTCCCCTCGCACGTCCGCGCCGCTCTCGTCTCCGATCGATGTGCCGCGGCCGGCACCTGGATCCCGAGAGTCGTTTTCGTCGCTCTGTCTCTCTCGCACTCCTGGGGCGTTCCGTTCGGGTGCGAGAGAGACAGAGCGCCGAAAGCAACTCCCGGACTCAGTCTGCAGGATGGACGACGAGCACGTCCCGAAGCCCGCACGTTTGATTCCGAGCTGTCTCCCTCGCACCTTTACGGGACGCACCGTGAGTGCGAGGGAGACAGAGCGACGAGAGCTGGGAATCAAGCTGCTGGACTGGGCTCCGCTTGTCTGCCTTTCGTTGCTGTTCGCGCCGCCCCTCGCCACTCCGCAGTGCG